TTTGTATGTATCACTTTCATTTATGACATGTTACCTTTTAATTTTTTACATAACCGTTTATTTGAAATTCATTTGCATAATTTTTCAAACTTCCCGTTTCAAATTAGAGAAATAACTGATGATGAACGCTTAATGTGTTTGAAAACGTTTTTATTTTATTAAAGAGTTATGCTGGATACTTGAATGGTTTTTATTTTTATTGAATTTATTCTCCAATAAGCAAGTATACATTTTTTTAACAACAAACGTTATTTACAATATGATATTTCTTATTATCTAGATACAATTATGTATAGCCTGAAATTAGTAAAACTATTTTAAGATATTTAATGAATAACAAAATATTTACAAAGTTTAAATAAAGTTCAGAACTTAAATTATCATCATATTAAGAAGTAATTTTAAAGTCAGTTGACAAAAAAAATATTTAAATGTTCAGTAAATTCACAAGATAAAATCAGATAATTGTTAACATTTTCAAAAAAGTTATAGAAAAGTTAATTGGAGTAAGCTGTTATATTAATTCTGTGAAGATTTAAGCTCTTTTGTGAATTTTAAAGCTTCAATATTTTTTCCCCCTCATCATTATTTCCCTTCTTCCTCCAGTTTCCTGTTTTCAGAAGGGTGAAATTAGACCTTTTGACCCCTCAACTTTCTGCGTCGCATCGAGAAGTGACCTTCTAAACTTTCAAAGACATTTCGGACAATGGATAAAGTTCTCCCCTTGCAACCGGAGATGATTCATTTCCACCTTCTTTAAAATTTTACAAAATAACTAGCCAATTAACAAAAACCTAAAATTGTTATACAATAGAGGGTAACCAAAAAGGTCACCTACCCGTGGAGTCCAAACCAAACCCACCTACACACTTCCTATTTCGTCTGATTTTAACAATGATAAAACCGATCAGATGACCCACCAAATGAACAATTATTACTAAGGTTGCAAGACAAACTCCAGCAATTAATTCAGTTGGTTTGACAGCTGTTATCAAATTTATGAGGTAGAAAAGGTGACAATACCGGATAGAAGAAGTAATAAAACTACAGAAATGTTTTGATTTCTGACAATTAGTATAAACAACCCCCGGGCACATCGAACTTACATGGAATTGCATCAGAACTTCCCTCGATAGTCCCCCTTCAAGACATGTATAAAAAGAGATCGCACCCATACCTCGGGTGATCACCAAAGGGAAGACACCAGGTTAGAGCCCATTTGGACACCTGCTCCATGCTCTGAACATAAAGACTTCTCAGAACTTGATCGCCGCAGCTAAAGAGATAATTTTTTAGAGAACTCTAATTCTCTCTCTCTTGGTTATAGACTAGATTTTGGTTAGTTTAACTTAGAGGATATTGGGACCTATAGAAGTCCAGAATTTTGACAACTTATCAACGACTGTCTATCCTTGTTGCAACTTAGAAGTATTTTTGGATTATTCCTTTTTTTTTTTTTTGTAGCCTTTGATTTGTACTCGTTTGGTATAACTTTATAGTCAATTAAATATTTATTCTTATATAAAAGTGTGTGTCATCCTTAAGTACGACTGACACCTTATCATGACCTCGCCTTATCACGACCTTATCACCCTCCTACTCAGTTACCACATAGACCATCCCTGACAAAGAAGTGGGGTCAAGCTTGGAGCTCTACCCCCACAGTTCACACAATTCTGTAACTATTTTAAAAAAAAAAGATGAATTAATTAAGACACAACTGTATTATCAGGGTTTGTCTTATAATTTAAATTTGACAACTGCAAGCATTGAGGTGTCCTTATGGAGGATACAGAAGTTTCCAAGAAACTGTACGTCTGCTTTATATAGAAACTATCTTGAGCCAATTATTTATCTTTTAAAGACTGAAGAACAGCTAAAAAAGCCTTTATCAGGAAACTGAGTATAATAAGCAATTGAAAATTACAAATTAGACAATAAATGCTCAACCAAGGAAGGCCAAATTATGACCAAAGAATAAGTGTTTATTAATTTTAATTTATTATAAACCAACCTCCTGAGATTTGATTCTGGTAACTCTAAAATCTTAAGCCAATAACAAAAAATAACCACAGCTAAGCCTATAGCCAACAGTGGTCTACTAAAGATCTCAAAACAGGTTCAGCATTAAATGATTAAAATGTAAAATCAATCTAATGAATCTGAATTTGAGTCTTCTCCAATCTATAAATAAAAGATGGACCTCAAATAAGAAACATAAAACCAAGACTTGACTGAACCAAGGAATCAAAACTAGAAAATTCAGACTTCAATGCCATTCACTTTATGTAGGATAGTCCCACTTTATAGTATCCACCAGGCAATGGCTGGAATGGTATTCCTTGGGAAGCTGAATAGAAGGTGAGGAAACATCAAATGGCCCCCTGTAGCCTGTATTTGATCATCTTTGGGATTATTTAAAGGAACAGGTTTACAAGCACAAGCCATGGAATGTGGAGACCTTGAAAGCTATGATCAGTGGGGAATGTACACTTATTCCTATATGTTTGGAAAAGCAATATATCCTGTTTCTGTAAGGTTGATGACAAAGTGCAAAAATGTCAAGAGGGTTGAATGGTCGTGAAGGGTCGTATGTTGGCGATTGGCACTGAGACAGACTCTATGGTTACAAGAAACTGTTTATTTGACATGAAAGAAACTTACAATATTTCCACGATCTTGGAACTTCTATTAATACATCAGCAGCGGCCTCTGGGTCTTCCTCTCCTTTCCAAGATAGTCCCATTTTGAAGGAGTATCCCTGGTTCACAAATGACCAATTCCATCGATGTCTTGATGACTCCTGGATGATGCGCTCAACTTCCGTTGATGGAAAGATGTCAATCTGAGTTTGGGAGATGAAGATGGGTATGAGACACATATACAACAATAGATCTGCCACTTGGAACTTGCAGGAGAAGAAGCCGTCACGTCCTTGAATTCTAAGGTTTTATCCGTTTTCCTCCAATTCCACTTTCCATTTGTTCTCTCCTCGTCACCTGGTGACAATTTGAAACCTTTCGGGGGTGTGGGAGAGGTCAAAATTGAAGTTTAATTCAATTCCCATCCAGAGATAGTCAATCTTAGTTTTTCCATTGTTCTATTGTTTAAAAGTTTGTGTTGTTTTCATAAAGAAAAGCTATTTCTAATTTCTATTTTTTTCTCAAAAAAAGATAATTTTGTCCTTAAAAATAAATGATTTTAACACAAATTTCAGTGAGGTTCAGACCTGTCCAGAGCCTCACATTTCTGGACACTTCCAGCAATGCATTGGAATGCAGAAACCTTTGTAGGATAATAAGTTAATGACATTAAACTGATCTATATATGATTTGGTTTTTCTACTTTTATTTGTTCATATTTTAAATGTATTTCAAAGGTGTTACATAAATCTGGGACACCATGTAGATAAACAAATGATGAAGAGAGCTATACAGTATTTCATTTTCTGTCTTAAATATGTCACTGATTCTAGATAAAATTTAATGTTACTCTTAAAATTGCTTGGATATATAGTTTTATTTTACGGTTGATATATTGTACATTATTTGTTGATCAAGTTGATATGAAAGCAATAACAATAAATATATGATGAAATAATGATCTTGCTATATTCACCATATCATGTAATTTTAAATGATTACATCCCACAAGTAGATTAAGTAAGGAAGTTTTGCATTATTAGTAATAATTAGTGCTTATTCTATTCATTTGAAATACTTTATTTTAAATTTGAAACCAAGCTTAGATAGTAAATATGCTATATATTTTGTTATAAGACAAATGCTGCAAATTTTAAGAGTCAAAGCATTACTGGAAAAAATGTTCTTTGGGACTGAAGATGGGACAGAGTGGTCCCAAAAAACATTATTCCCAATAAAGCCTTGACTCCTAAAATTTGTAGCATTTGTCTTTTTACTTCTGAAGTAACATGGAGTCAGAATACTCAGAAATTATTTTGTAATAAATTAGATGTGTTTAAAATAGTGAAATATAAATGAAAAGAAATATTTTAAGAAATGATATTTAAATAATTTCTAGAGATTTCTTTAAAGAAAGCATTCTACAGTATTTCCATATTATAAGATCAGATAATATCATAAATTTACAAATTAAAAATAAATATAATACTAATAATTAAGATAGTTTAGAAACATAAATTTCAATAATAAGTTTACTTTAGTTATTTTAATTTTTACTAATTTGAATTTGTATAATAAATTATATGTTAAATTTATTATCATAGATTATTCATGCTTCACTATTTAATTTAATAAAGAGTGAAAAATCTTGAATTAGCTACATAATGATTTTATTAATAGCAAATGATTTTTCTTTTAGTTTTACCAGATGAAGTTTTACAGGGTAAGTATGTAAATGAAATTTGTTAGAAATGAACTTTAAATAAATATTTTTATTAAAATAAATCTTATTACATTAAATATAATTTAATAAGTGGTGATGTTTTCTGCAGATGCTGTCCCTGGCAACATACGTACGGCAGAACATTTTATAGCCTTTTTGAAACGCTTTATAGAATATATAAAAATACGTCTTCGTGTACAGCATGTTGCTCAAGAAAGTCCAGCTAAATTTTTAAAAGATGTTCTTCAGAAAGTTTGTATTGAGAGGAAACCATTGAGGTAAATAAATTAACTGAAATAAGTAAAAAAATAATATAAAATACATTAAAAAATGGTAAAAAAGTACAGTACATAGTATTTTCCCCAATCAAAAATATTTTGACATTTTAACAAACAATGATTACTGAAATATAAAATAGGAGTGTTTTAAATATCAGCTAATTAGCAAAGAATTAGAAGTAAAATTCAGATTGTATAAATTTTAACTTAATGAAGCATAATTTATTGAAGTGAGTTGGCTTTGATATATGATAATGAAAAATTGTAGTGGCCTGGTTATAATATAAATTTTCTCTGTAGATTTCATCTATAAAGTTTATACAAGGTGTGACAATTTATTTCCAGGACTGGTCATGTAGCGCTGCAGTGTCAGTTTTCAGAAACTTGTCTAAGCTTGTCATAATAGTTCAACCATCTGGCTACTTGTCTGCAAAGATTTGTTCGTGTCTCGTAACTTATTCTTTTTCTGTACTCTATTCACATATTGCTGTGAGAAAGTATTGTCACGTTTTTGTCATGGAACAAAAAGCGAACATTAAGTTTTGTTACAAGTTGGGTAAAAGTGCAACAGAGACGTATACCGTCATCAAGCAAGTTTATGGGAATGATGCCCTATCCTTCTCTCATGTTTTCGAGCAGATTGCATGTTTCAGGGATGGTCAGGAAGACCTTGAGGACGATGCTTGCGCTGGCCAACCTCAATCAGTTCCAACATTAGAAAACATTGAAAAAAATCAGACTTGCTGTGATATGACCGTCGAATGTCTATTCGGATGATAGTGGAGACAACTGGTATCAATCTGGAGGCAACTCTTCGGGTTAGGCTTCAGTTTGCAGCAAGAGGAAGCTGGGTACTGCTGCACGACAATGCCTGCCCGCACATTGCAACTGTTGTCAAGGAGTTTTTGGCCAAATGTGGCATTGTGGAGTTGAACCACCCTCCATACTCACCAGATTTGTTGCCTTGCGACTATTTTTTGTTTCCGAAAATCAAAATCACATTGAAGGGACGAAGATTCGGTGACCTGGAGGACATACAGCGCAATGTGACCAAGGAATTGAGAGCTGTCAACGGAAGTGACTTTGCCGAGTGTTTCAAGAACTTATACAAGCATTGCTAGAAGTGCATTGCCCTCCAGGGAGATTACTTTGAAACATATTAGAAGGGTTTTTCATTATATGTTCTTTGTGTCCTTTTATTACCCCAGTCCTGGAATTTAATTGTCACACCTTGTATTATAACTATACAGATATTTTACTTTTGACTATATGGATTTTTTATCTGTTATAAAGAAAGCAATTTTAAATTCAAATTTAACATATTTTCTGTTATATACTTATCATTATCATAAAGAAATAAATAAAAAATGAATACAAGTACATGGCTGGCATTATTCACATTTAATAATTATAAAAAATATAAATACGACTTTACAAAGATAAAACTTTGCATTTTGTCCTTTTTTTTTCGCTGTTCACATCATCAGCAGTCCTTAAAAAATTCACAAAGTTTTGGAGACGACCTTTCTTTTGAGGCTACTGCCTTTGCAAAAACATGTAAAACAGGTAAAGTGTCCCCTGGTGTTAATGCCACAAGCATCAGGTTATCTCTGAAACTTTGTGAATTTTTTAAGGACTGCTGATGGTGTGAACAGTGAAAAGGGAGGACAAAATGCAAAGTTTTATCTTTGCAAAGTCATATTTATATTTTTCATATTTATTAAAAAATAAAGAAATAAGTTTTCTGATTTATAAGAATTTGTGTTTAAAATTTGTATTGTTACTATTTATTAGTTCATTTTCTTCAGTTTCAAATTACTGGTTCTATTATATTAGATCCAGCAGATCAGTTTTATTTATGAATGATATCTTATGCTCAAGCTAATCTGCAATGATACCCAAATTAAGCAGTCAACAAATTCAAGTATAATTAAAAATACAAAAACCATACTTCTTTATTGTTGTAATAAATATTTAATGATAGACTGAAATAAATAAAGATAAAAGTTGTATTAAAATAACACAACTTTTATCTTTCGATTTATTTATTTATTAACCTTTTATTTAAATAAAAAAATAATATCTTTGCCTATTTCGGAAGAATGGTTGAAGTTTTGTGTGTGTTATTGTTTTAAAATTTTCTGGAAACTGTCTTAGTTAATAGTTTATTTGTTTAATTAATATTTTAACTGTGATATATATTATATGTGATGCATATATACGAGTATCACATATCATATATCAAACTTGCAGTAAAAAACAAATCATATACAGTATATGCAAACTTTGCCTTCTTTATTAATATGAAATAATAGAAGTATGGAAATAATGTTAAAACAAAGTAGTAATAAAATTATATAACATAGCATATATACCCTTTCAGTATTGGGATAGTCAGGTATGGTGCTATCCCAAAGTAGTGGAAAATAAACATGGGAAATTTTTAAAGTATTTTTCCACATGTTTTTTCTCATTACCATTTCAGAAAAAGATTTAGTAAACAGTTATGTCTAGTAAAGAAAAGTATTTTTATTGTTACATAATTCATTTTTTATATGAATTTTTTTTGCGGTAGTTTTTGGCAATACCCCAAAAGAATTTAGTGAATATCCGTCCCTCACCACTGCCACACGATCGCCCTGGACAGATATATCTGTCCCTCACTGCTGAGTGGATATAATACAACAATCCTATATATGTATAGGGAAATTGACAAATAAAAATTTAATTCATATTAATATAAAAGTTTTATTATATAAGGAAATACTTTTATGCAATTTATATAAAACTTCTATAACATATTAAGAATTTTTCAGTTAAATCATTTTTCTTATTTGACTTGTACAAATTGTAATTATGTTATCTTTTGTCTATATTGTTAGTTTTTTATTACATTTTTCTAAGAAAATAATTTTGAATAATATTTTAAAATTCTCTTCAAAGTAAATGTTAATAACTTAGAAAAATGTTATTAATTAAACATAATTTTTAACTGTAATGTTAACCCATGTACAGTAGAGTCCCGAAAACTCAGCCTAATGTGGACTGAAGGGTGGCCGAGTTTGTGAAAATGCTGGGTTATTGGGAATGGGGTTAAAAAAGAATAAGTATGAGTGTTTCCTGAGAAAATACTGTATTGTACTTGTATATATTGTTTGCTTGAGAATACAACAGAGAATAAACTGCCCAAATACTCTTAAACAAAGGAAAAATACAGTACATACTTTATGAAGGCATAGAACCTTTACTACATGAAAATGAAAATTAATGAATACCCAGTGTACAGTAATTTACCTGATAAGACAGACCTCAGAAAAATACTCTGAGGCAAAAAACTGTCTACAATGAAAATTAACTAGCTGATTTTGCAAAAACTGGCTATTTTTTTTAAAGAAATGCGTAATGTCCTGTTGTCTTCCGCACTGCACTCTGCATTTTGCTGCTTCATCACGAAGACGATGAAGGAACAGTAAATCCATTACCGACGCACTTTGTTGTTCAAATACTGAAGGGCAGTTTCGACAGCCTTTAGTCCCTCACTGTGTGATATTTTAGAAGCTTGTATGGTGGAGTCCTCGACACCAATGTCTTCATCATTTTCCGGCATTTTTTCATTAATTGTGACAGCAGCAGTAATTTCTGCATCGGACATGATGTCTTGCTCGGTATCATTCTGGAATCACTGTTCAATGTCATATTCATCAACTTCTGCACATCCAGGAACTCTTTTCAGGAGGTCGAGTAAGTTTACATTTTCTGCATCATCATGTTCAACAAACTCATTTCCCTCATGATCAAGGAGTTTTCGCCAGGAACGAACTAGTGTTAATGACTCTAACTCATTCCAGGTGTCTGCCACCCAGCCTACAACATTCAATAGGTTTGTTTTCTTTAAGTTCTGGATAAGACCTTGACCATCATTGTTTGCAGAAAGAAGAGAGGATAACAGCTTGTGCCTATATCTTCTCTTGAGACTAACCAAAACTTTTTGGTCCATTGGCTGACATAACGCTGTGATTGGATGGTAAAAACATTGCTCATATGTCCCCATTTTTTAACTCTTCGATGTCTGGGTGCAAAGACGCGTTGTCCAAAATCAGAATAGCCTTCCTTGGCAGGTTTTTAGATTTTAAAAACTGCTCAATAAATGGAACAAATACTTCATGGAACCATTGTTTGAAAATTGCACAGCTCATTCAGGCATGTGACTGGTTTTGGTACCAAACTGAAAATTTATCCATTTCAATGTGCTTAAACACACATGGTTTCTTTGATTTTCCTATGAGATCAAGCTTTAATTTGTGTTCACCTGTTGCATTACTGCATGCTAGGATTGTTACCCTCTCCTTGCTCCTTTCAAAACCTGGGGCTGACTGTTCTTCCTTGAAAGCAAGGCTTTTCGCTGGTAACAGTTTATAATTTAACCCTGTTTCATCACAATTGTACAATTGCTCTCCAGTCAAACCTTCAGCTTCGATAAATTTTTGAAAGTTTTCCTTAAACTGAGACATACCTTCCGTGTCCCCAGATAGTTTTTCCCCACAAATACTAAGCTGCCAAACTCCATAGCGTTTCTTCCAGCGATCAAGCCAGCCAGTGCTTGTGACAAATTTAGGATCATTGTCGTTTTTAAATTCTTCATAAAATTTCAAGGCTTTCTCTTGCAAGATTGACCCACTAATTGGCATGCCCTTCTCTCTTGTTTGGCGAAACCAAATGTAAAGTGCTTCACTTAGCTCATTAAAATCACTTTCCTTCATACTTTTCCTTTCTTTCAATGTTTCTGTACATATTCTGTTAACACACCACGACTCAATTTCCATCTGCTTCTTCTTCCAGTCTCCAATCGTACTTTTGCCAACTCCCAAGTCCTTAGCCACTGCAATGATACTTTCTCCCTTATCCAGTCTCTTTAATGCCCACAACTTTTGCTCCATACATAGACAAGTTCACTTGTTTTCTTTTAACAGAAGATGCAATCGCAGAGTACTGTTGTTGGG